TTTGCTCAGATATCTTTTCGCAGAAATCACTTAAAGTTTCTTAGTTTTCGATACGACCTTCAAACCTTCAAGAAAAGAGCGTACTCCTTCCTAAAAGGCCAGCAACAATGGTCACTTTCCATCAGGTGACCCGCTCGTTTGCCCCCTCCAACATAAAAGAAGTTTAAAAGAAAACCTACAAACCATATGTTCATATAGTATAAGAGGGAAAGATCAAAATTAACAAATCCCAAACTCATTAAACCTAAAGCTAACAGTTTATATCATATCTATTGAATTATTATTTTTTTCCTAAAGAAGACAACTCCCGCATTAAAAATATATCCTGTGTCGCGGTGGACTTTACAAACATACATGAAACGGACATAAAGAACGCCCAGACTCAGAACAACAATATGTGGATCACACAAAGTGTCGTCCCATGTGGGATTTGAACCCACAACACTGGACGCAGTAGGTAGCGGCGTGGCGATCGCTTAAAGCACTACGCCATCCGTGCAGTCAATAAATAAATGACATCATAGACCACGGGTTAGAAAAAGAGACCGTTAGCGTTGGGCAACCTAGGAATAAAGTATCATATTTATGTCGAATTGTACAGCTTTCTAGTAGGTATTATAAATATGAGCTCAGCCGCAGACAGATAGAATGGAACGGATAGAAACTATAAGGGTATGTTGACTACTGACTCGTAAAAAAAAACTTATAAAATGAGTCAGAAGCCTGGGGTATTAATGCGGTATCGCAATAAAGAGTTCATGATAGGCTTGCTGTTCGACTCACAGTTATTCGACCCTAATCTGCTTAATCAAAACTTCTTTTCTTTCATTGGATTCCCTTCTTACCTAAGTTTCCCTATCAAAATCCCAATCTCTTTAACTTTAATTTCCACATTGCACGATTCACGGCTAGGTTATGCTCTGATATGTTTGCTCTTATCCGTATGTTGACGGATTAGGAATACCGAGTATCATCACCCCTATACCTCCCGTGGGTGTCGTAAGAACCGACTAAGGGAACAAACTACGCAGGACAACAGCACTGCAAAGAGAAGGAAAACTCGACACAAACCCTATACCAACTCGTCTGGCGAGCGTGGTATAGTAGGCCAAAACCTTCTTTCTAAGGAGAGGCCTATGTCCAGCAGTGAACTATTTAAGGCTGTTGATGATGATGATGATTAGTGATGTTTGCTCTTAATAACATCGAATGGGCTAAATTAATATAATTTAAATTATATAAAATTGGATGTTTTATACGCTTCCATCTTAAATCTGTTGGCCAAATCATCAAAATTCATACAAAAACAAACATGTTTCACAAGCTCGGTGATAAAGTAAAACCCATCGTACACTTTACCACAGCAACGTTTACAGTGCTTAGAGGTCGAAGGTTTCTATTCATAGATATTTTGATACCATTAGATATACTTCTGGAAAAATGGATTTAATAGAATCACTTTAAGATATACCTATGTATATAAAGTGATATTGTTGTATTTTCTTAAAAAACAAAAAATGGGGCCAACCATTGAGTTTATTCTATTCTATCTTTATTTGTTCATCATTGTTACAGTGAAGTATCAAAAGTAAGTAGGTACACAGTTATTTCCAAAATACGTCTACTGTACAAATGGCTACAAATACAAATGCTGTCTCAGGCAACTTTAGAATAGAGAAACAATTCGAAGAGATAGCGTTAGTAGTTGATGTTTAAAGGAGAATGCCCATCTCAGTATGTAAATCAGTTTTACTGCTTTTTTTTGCAGTGGCAAATATGTATAAACTGCTTTATTAAGCCAACATTGAGTATTATCGGAAATAGTCACGTATTTTGTTACAGAACTTGTGGTTATTGAGAAATTAAATGTGAAAATATTAACAACAAGAAAATATCGTGTTTTTGACAGGGATACCATATATAAATTTAGACATTACTAGTGCTAACACTGAAGGATGCTTTCACTTCTAAAACTAACGACTACATACACGAAATAATAACATTACTAAACTGCAATATATTTTAATGTGACATGTAATGTAATGTAATAAATAAAGGCTAACTCTCTCACTAGGAATGTATATACCCTTTTTTTTTGCCGTGCGGAACTCCCCTCGGATACCACCCACCAGTGGGTGATTATGTCGGACTCGAACCGACCAAAAACCGCACGTCGCCTCCAGGTACCATTAGCCGGGGAAGGACCTGGCGGAGCTGTGATTTTTGATCCTCGATTTCTCGAGACTCAGGACTCCGTCCCAGCTCCCGCGCCTATTTGCGCCACCGATACAGAGCCGCAAGGGCTCTCGCCAGGAATATATATACCCGGGAACTTTTACAAACATACATGAAACAGAGACAAGGAACACCCAGACTCAGAACGATAATTTGTGCATCACACAAAGTGTCGTCCCGTGCGGGGATCGAACCCACTGCACTCAGCGTTGTAGGAAGAGGCGTAGCGATCGCTTAAACCACCACGCCATCCGTGGTGGTTTAAGCGATGTCCGAAGTCGTGTCGCAATTGCATACATAATATTCATACATATATCAATTACATGACACGCATTACGAAAGATTGTGTTCATTACACGTTTATTTGTTTAAGTCGGTCAACATGATTAAGTCAGTCAACTTTACGAATTATTATCACCTATTGTATATTTCACCCTTTTTATTTTAAAACGACGTTTATTTCCATTCAGCCATTAATGGTTTATTTAAGAAAATGGCAAAATTTAATTTAAAATGGAAAATGTCATTGATTAAAGTTTTAGTCCTTGTAAGATTTAATTTTAAACCCTAAGTTCTATATTAGAATCCTAAATTAGTCCTTTATTAAATTTTAATATTATAAAATACGACATTCATCATCAACAGCCTTTAACAGTCCACTGCTGGACATAGGCCTCTCCTTAGAAAGGAGGTTTTGGCCTACTATACCACGCTGGCCAGACGGGTTGGTATAGGATTTGTGTCAAGTTTTCCTTCTCTCTGCAGTGCTGTTGTCCTGCGTATTTCGCTCCCTTAGTCGCCTCTTACGACACCCACGGGATGAATAGGCGTGGTGACACTCTGTATTCTTAATCCGTCACCACACGGATATTATAAAAACATCTGATATTTAGTATTTTGAACTAATTTACCTACTTCCTTTTACTGCGTATCTATATATATAGATATATTATGCAGTACATACATTTTCAGTATATACTTATGTAATATAATATCCACAATGATGTAACTAAAATAAAAATACAGTTCTAGAACCATTTTCTCCAAAATGATTATTGACCTTAAACATTTTTATATGTGTTATGAAGGAACTTAAACCGTACTTTAAGAAAAAAGGGACTTGAGAGTTGAGTAAGACGTTGTGAAACGATATGAGTACTCCGGCGAGAGTGAATTGGAAGCCACTTGAGATTTAGATGGGATTCAGAAACGTGGTCATACTTATTTCCATTTGGATGTACATACCGTTGTTTATATAGGATTAAAGTAAAAAACTGTGCACTAAATACATGTTTAATCATAGACACCGAGAGAAATCAGATTTTATTGTTTTTCTTTCTTTCAACAGCAGTTTAACTTTCAAAATCGTTTAGTACACCATGTTAAGCTTAAATACCAAAAAATGTATTTAGGTTGTAAGATAATAAACTCAATCATAAAACGTTTATTTCATTATTCACTATTCAATATTCATAAGGTTAAATCATAATTAAAAACAAAGAAGGATGTTGTTTGGCTAAAAGTTTAGTGACCGTAATACTTTGCAATAAAATTTACAGCTTCGTAAACGTAAAACAGGCCTGCCGGCTGATCATCAACCGATATGCATCGAACTGTGTTATTTAATCAAACGTACCGTATGGTGCGCTACAGTATGTGTTTTTCATTGCATTTCTAGTCGATATACAGCATAAGTTGCTTATACAACCGTTTAAACTTCTTTAAAATGTTCCTGGGTTATGGTTATTAATTACCTAATCGTATAATGTTACTGTACTACAGTAAAAATCGTCTTATTTCAAATAAAGTTTGGGACTTCAGGCTTACTTTCCGTATGGTTAAGTGTATTACAATTCGTATACGTTTATCGTTAGGTACGGATTCATTTCTCAATTACTATTTTATAAAGCTGAAATTTGGCTGTGCAAATTCTAATTTAATTGATTATACTTATTAGATCTTTTCTTAAGCCCTCGGTTCAAGATTCAAATAAAACTAGAAAATCCCTTGATCAGTTTGTGGCTTATATTAAGCTAGTAGACAAACAGCTCCTTACCTTGTGTACGCAGGGGTGTGGGACCCACGTTAGCGTCAGGTCGGTGCCCAATAACACGCATGATTGAGTTCAGGCATCCGCTCCATCGTGTCGCTTGTCGCTCTATCAGGTTTTACCCTCTCATCTAATTGCTAATGAAATTTTTCGTCGATGGAAAAATTATATTAGCTGAAGGGACGTCGAATCCAATATTATTTTAATGGAAGGCTTTCATTTTGCTAAAATTTTCGTGACTAGATTTTGGAAATAACCGTAGGGGCAGGTGGGGCACAATGATACAAGGGGCACATAGATACACAAGTATTATTTAATAATAGATTGAATGTATTCGAGTGGTGACATCTCTAGAACGCTCCTATAAATATTTGAACGCATCCGATGTAATCGCGTCGACAGGCAGTCAGTCGCGTTGACGAGACGTAACGTGATTCGAGTGCGGGCATTAAAAAAAAAACGTGATTTATAAAAGTGTTTGAACGATCTTCTGTACCAACCTGTGAATGTATATATATACCAAAGATAAGTTAGGGCATCGAATGTTGAAGATGTAGTACATTTATTTAGTATAATTCGTATTTTAAAAAACATATTTTGGGGCACTTAGATACAGCGAAGTACGAGGCACAATGATGTGTATCATTGTGCCCCAACAAAATGTTATAATATATATTTCTATTAAAATTATATATTCTTTTGTTGGCATCAGAAAATGGTGCGAACGTACAAGCCAAAGACCGATAGACGTAGTACAGATGAGGAAAGGATCAAGAACGCCATATCCGAAGTTACTTTAAGGGTACTTTCTATTCGAAAAGCAGCTGACAAATATGGTTTCAAGTCCTGCAACTCTGCAACATCGTGTTGAAAAGTTTAGAAAATATTACTACCAATTAAGCCAAACGTCATCTTCTAATTTGTATGGGTCAAAGTATTCTGTTGCTCAAGTACGGCTTACTGTCCAGCAAGAGAAAGTCTTTTCAGAATATTTATTGACTTGCAGCAAGATTCATTATGGGTTATCCTTGCATCAACTGTTGTAGTATGCAGAATATTTGGGATGTAAATATCCAGATTCGAAAGATTGGGCAGCAGGATTTAGAAAAAGGAATCAGGAACTTAGCTTAAAAAAACCTGAAAACACAAACGCCGAGAGAAGTTTTGCATTTAATAAGACCGCAGTAGATGATTTTTTTAATAATTATGAGCATGTAATGTTACGCTATAAATTCACATCTGATTGTATAACAAATTTGGATGGAACAGATATTAATACGGTCTTATCAACACCTAAAGTTTTGGCTGAAAAGACACAAAGGCATGTTGGAAATTGTGTCAGCTGAACGTGGAGAACTTGTAACATTTTGTTTAATAGTGACAGCAACTGATACTGCTCTGCGTCTGTTTATGTTTTTCCTCGTGTCCATTTCAAAGATCCATCTTTAAATGGAGCTCCTCATGGCAGTCTTGGTTTGGCAAACAGGAGCGGCTGGATGATAGCTAAACTGTACATACAAGTTCTTTAACATATTCAACGCCAATTCGAATTATTTGTGACACTCGAGTCACATATTTCTATTGAAGCTGTCAAATATTGTTATGAGAAATCTTTCTTTGCCACCATATGCGTCACACAAATTACAACCGCTGGATGTCAGCGTTTTTGATCCATTTAGAAGCAAACTGAAAATAGCTTTTAATGATTGGTACATTCAAAATATTGGGAAGACTATCCATATATAAAATAGCTGAACTTTCAAAATCTGCCTTTTTTGAATCTTTTACACACAAAAACATTACAAGCGGCTTTTCAAAGCCAGATATTTAGCCATTCAACCGACCTGCATTAGGGAAGATGATTTTGCTCCTATAGAATATATAATAGTATATAGTATACCTATATATAATAGTCAAGAAACAGAGACAGGAAATAGATTTTGTTGAGCCGGAAAGAAGTCAAAATGATGAAATTATTGCTGAATGCTGTAACATAGATGAGGCACAAACAGACCCATCAGATGACCAATCGGATTTTAATACATCTGCAAATGTTATTTCACCTCTTTATGTTTCAGCACTTCCAAAGGATAACCTGTCAGGCTTTTAGATTAATAATAACATAATATCAACAGCAACTGTACGACCATGTTCTAAAAAGGTTTTTAATGAAAAACATCTAAGAAAGGAAGAGAAAATGGAAGAAAAAATCTGTTCTGCTTTGAAGCCGTTATCAGATTCTGATTCTAGTGTGAATGAGTTGCTGAAATTAAGTGATGAAAATGATGATAAAGAGTCAGACGAAGAAAATAGAAAAGAGTTTGACGTTCTTATCCGGAAAATATAAACATTGGGGATTTCATCATCGTCATCATCATCATCAGCCTATCGTAGTCCCCTGATGGACATAGGCCTCTCCCATTGCACGCTACTTAGATTGATTATGGGCTTCTCGCATCCAGCTTCTGCCCGCCATCTTGCGCAAAATGTCACTCCACCTGGCCTGTGGGCGTCCTACGCTACGTTTGCCGTGATGCGGTCTCCCTTCAAGAACTCGTTTTTCCCAACTGTTGTCGGTTCAGCGGCTAATATGGCCAGCCCACTGCCACTTCAGCTTGCTGATCCGGATTTCCTTCTTATTAAATTTGAAAAGAAGAAATCGATCGTTCATTATGTGGCCAAAATAATTTTTAAATACAATTTGACCGAATATCAAGTGTCAGAAAAAATCCTAGGGCTTATATTTTTGTTTTCCTAGAATATCGAACATCATTTATGTATACTTTTTCAGTCGATTTAAGTGCATACAATGTGCAATAAAAGTGCCAATATTAACGTTCTTAATAATATTAACTTTATTATTTGTGCTTTTTTTCTTTACTAAGCGTTGCCGTATTAGAGTTTAAAGATTGTTGTGTTTTGAGTTTTATTTGTAATTCAAATATTCGAAACTGTAAATTTGGTTTAGTAACAAGTAATTAGTGAGACTGATTATGATATCTTCACAATAAAAAAATAGAAATTTTCATGAAAGTCTTTTTTCGATTTCGATTCGATCGAACCAATTACATACAACTTTCAATCTGTATTATAGTACGTCACATGATGTATCTAAGTGCCCCGTTAATGGAGCAGAATGATTCAAAATCATTTTTTTACAAACTTAAGCAATTGCTATCCTTTACATTAAAGTATTTATACATTTGCCTAAACGTTCAGTTGAAAATAAATTTAAAATATTATGTTTTTTCATTACCAAGTATTTCATTTTAAAATTTTTTGATTCATCGTCCCAGCCTCCCCCTATTTGCAAATAACCTTGTGACAAAATGAAATGTATAGTAAGAGTAAAATTCATTGATAGTTTCTCAATTATATTTTCATGCATAAATTAATTAAATAAAATAATTAACCGACGCTGACAATGGGAGGCGGGAATTGAGGAAAATGGCTGACAGCGGATAGATGCGGACTGCCCTAGACCGAGATGGTTGGCGCTCTTTGGCGGCTAAAAAAAGGCCTCCCCGGCCTTCCTTTAGCCGTGGACGGCAATAGAAGACAATGGAAGACAGTTTTCATATCATCTAAGGTCATCCTAGGCATATGGATACCATTTACAGTAATCCAATGAACTAAATGTTGTTGTTTGACCAGATTTTTGGATGATTTAAAGTATTACGAACAAGCGAAATGTTAATGTTATGTGCTTATTGACCAATATGTACCTAATAAAGACCTAGTCGTCATGAAAATTTAAAAATATTGTCATAAAACAGTGTTAAAATATCACTCATAAATATTATTATACTTATTGATGGTATTTTATAACAGACACACGTCGTAAAAGTCAGATGAAAACCATGAAAGCGCCACATTTGGCCATCATTCTGTTTATGTCCTTTGTACACATAAAACAGCCTTTAGTTATTTATTGACTTTAAACCTAAAATACATAACAATCGACGGATGAAAGCAGTAAAGTACGTAGCCGAGTCCATTAAACGTAATTGAGCTATAGCTATGGAAGTTTAATGTGTTTAGGTAAATCAATTTTGTAGTTTCGGACTTCGCGAAACACTATTGTTTTTTGAATCAAGGTAGTAAATGAGCACACAGTTGGCCTTGTCTTATGCGGTTTTCGGTCATGAAGGTGTTTCTTCAAATGTTAAATATTAAGGAAGGTGCTCACTTTATACAATTTTATTATAGTAGTCCTGTATTAAAGTATATTTGCGATAAGCATGTACGATATTTAGCTGTGTATGCGTATGCGTGTGTGGCACACCCACACACGCATACGCGCCTTAAAATGTACTTCTCTTCTATTATATTCTGTTCTAACTTTGTCTACCACTATGTTTCTACGCAAAATTGTGTTATTAGGAATATTACTGTAGTAGTAGGTTTTAGTAATAATTTCATATATCACACGACGTACCCCGTATACTGGTCACGTACGGTCTCTATCGACGGTTTTTGTTCACGTAAATATGTATATACTGTAATTATTTGGTACGATATATATTAATATTAGGCTTAGCTTGATCAACCGTCTCAGATAATAAAGAAAACAAAAAACGTCTAAATAATTACTATAGGAAAATATCGAATGGCGTACTCTTAATACGTAATGAGAAAACTTTGTATTGATCCTGTTTCTAAGTATAGGTATTACGCACTCGGGGAACGAGTACAAAAACTAACATAGTATATTAGTTGCAAATTATATTAATTGTATATAGTAATAGTTTTTGTAAAATAAGTGCTCCTAGTATCTGGTTAGGCTGTACCCTGCCACGCTTCGCTGTGGTACATTGTGGTTGCATTGATAAGAAAGGGGTACAAAACAAAACATATTAAACGAAAAATAGATAAAAACCATCTTTGAAGGGGTTTATATATATAGTGTCCAAATTAGAACAGAACAAATGCAGAACTTTTTGAGTTTTTGAAGCGTCCATAATCCATACATAAAGTATTTTATTTATAGTATATGTATGTAAGTTAGATTTATCTTAAATTAATAAATTTAATATAAAAGAGTCAAATTCTCTGTTTTCTCTTGCACCTACAGCATCATTTTTCTAAATCAACCGAAGGTCGACTGGCAGAGAATGCCCTGGGCATTAAGTCCGTCTGTCTACAACTTGTGCATTAAGTTAAATAAATAAAATAATCCATATATATGTATGTGGTTTGTGTACGCTTCAAAAACTCGAAAAGTTAGCAGATACATAGATACATAGATGACAATAACAATTGACCTTATAAGAAATATAGAGAAAACAACAGACGCAAGCAGATGTTAGATTATTTATTTTAAATATACTCAGTTCACTGCAAATTACTACGTTATTTATGCATAAACGACACAGCGACCCATGTTAACCTCAAAAAATCTTCATACCCTAACCTGTATGCCATTGTAACACATGTCTCGAAGGTAAAAGCGGTGTCAAATAGTCTCTGTCGTACTGGGAAAGGTAACGTTTCGTCTCAATGGTCGTTACTAAATATTTGAACGCCCCGCACTGCGCACTGCCTTAAATAAAACATTTTTGCCAACCGAACTGAATTTTTGAGGCGCGCTCCTGCTCCCTTCCCTTAGAGACCGACTATTCGTGTAGTGTTAGTCTGATGTTTGGATTATTTATCTATGGAGATATGACAGATTTTGTGGGAAATCTTTTTATTATCGATCAATATAGACTCACACTTTAACGTAACTCGAATTTGCTGGAAGCTTTTCATGCAATACAAAGGAAGCTAATGTTTACTCGCTGAATGAATATAATAAGTAACTAATTTAGCGCTAACAAGGGACCAAGTACGTATTAGTGTTTTTTACTTTTATGGTTCCTTACTAGTAGTAAATCGTTCATTAAAGTCTTGTGAATATAATATTGATTATACTGTTTGAGAAATGAAAAGTAGCAGTGTGATATACCTGAAAGATTTGTAAAAAAATATGATTGGTATTCATAACTAAGCAATTTTTAGTATTGGTGGTAGTATTTTAATATTTAGTTTTCTGCCACAAATTATTATTTGTCTTACACTTAAAAATCGATGTATGTTGGTGCGTATTTCATGCGCTAAATATCATTCTTCCTATCACCATGAAATTTTGTACAGGTTGCCAGGGATACCGTAAAGAATAAAAGGGGACCTCTTATCACAAAAAATATGTTCAAATTATACCTAAGTACATGACAATCTTAGAGATGCTTGGACTGCTAAAACTTTAATTAAGTATACTTCTCAACCTGATTCTAGTGTTTCTAAATAAATTTATATAAGTAATGACGCCCTTTTGACTGGAAATAATATAAGTTAGCGTACCCAGTATTTGCATAAGCACACAATATCAAGAAAATTCGTCCACTGTTGTGCCACAGAGATTTCCTAAAAGGTGATTTGCATTATTTTTCACCAAGTTAAAACAAAGAGTCGTATCTACGTAAAAATGTAAATTTGGGCCTCTCCTGAATCTAAAGTTCACGCTTGATTTTATTTTCATGGCGCGAACGACAGCTGAATTTTAAAATGTTCTTATTTTAGAAATATATTCTATTAAATATTTTTTTATATTTACAGCAGATCATGTCAGCATTTATGTAGGAATGCAAAGAGCATACGACTTGTTATGCAGTTGTGCGGGACTGAACCATCTTCGTACCAAAACAGACGTGACGTGACGTAATACTAATTGTGCACTTTTTAGGAATTGCAAATTAATGTAAAGTTGCATGGTGACAAATTCAAACTTTGCATAAGAATTCTTGTTGCATCTTGTATTAAAAATGAACTGGTAGGGGACGTTATGTAAGGTTTACAGAAATTGGTGAAAACAAGTAAATTATATATTCTGTTTATACTACGGCCTGTTGGTTTAGTATAGTGGTTTGCGATTCTGACGAGCTCTGAGCTATAAAGGTCGTGAATTTGATCTGCATTCTGGTTTAATACAGGCTCTGCTAATAAAATATATATAGTAGTACAGGCTCTGCTTAGTCTATTAAAAGGATTTTGTTAAAAGTTTCTGTAATGTGAATGTAAATTTTGATTTAGAGGATTTCCAAAAAAATCAAAATACAATACTAGTATGATCGAAGCGAAGTGCTGTACCTACAATTATTGTTGGTGAGAATGGATCGATAGGGTTGGCACACACGACTGACATTCCTGGCAGAAGTGCCAGATTATGTAATAACTGTTTAGTTATGTTGCTTTTTAACCGACTTCCAAAACATAAAAGATTAGGTTATCAGTTCCGTCTCTTTTTTTATCTATCAGATTGCGTAATGTAGTATTTAAATAAAATGTTAGTAAATATATTAAGAATTT